GATCCACTGGACGCATGCGCGTTTTATGTAAACCTAAAGTGCTTTGTGCGGATACGAATGCCCTGTTACGTACAAGCCGCGGATTACTGCGCAGTCCTGGGGGACTAGCATCGGTTGGTTTTTCGCATTGATACGCTGTCATCGCCCCTCGCTGCTTTGAAGTTTGACCAGGGTAATTCACTTTTCCCAAACATGATAGAGCAACAGCGCTGTCTGGCGGATGTCCATCACCTCATCTCTAAGTGAGAACAAATGGTTAGTCGATAGAATACTGGTCAGATGTCCACTACTACTGTCATCTAGCAGGACAACTACAGGGCTGAACAGAAGGAGCATGCATAGCTCATGCTACCGTGGTGGTTGGAAGTGAGTACGCTGGTGACCGTTGAGTCTGATTGTACGCTCGAAAGCCGCTCAGATTCCGGAGCTGTGCTTTTCCTGGACACACCGACAGCCGTTTCAGATAACCCATTTGTGTAGTTATGCACTGGTTATCAAAGTTCTTCCCGCATTCACGGATAGCAAGCCGCCAGACTGATCTGTCAAGTGCCATGTTTTTCGAAGGGCCTAAACCAGAATTACTGTTAATCAGAGTTCATTGCTTGACTACCCAAGTAGCGGTTTGCTATTCTTCAGTGGGCTGAAGTCAATTTACTTTGGACTGCAGTCGCCTACCATTTGTTTCATTTGGTTTCTCTGGTTTAGCCGCCTAAGCATCAGGCTTGGCTTGATTTCACTGATATCGACCTTTTTGATAAATCACATTTGATTCGACCTGACCCCTGGGTCCACAAGCATTGTAGATGGAATCCGTCGTGCATCCTAATGTATCGTCCATTTTAGCTGCTGTGTCGTGGTGAAGACAACTCAACTGCTCCTCACGCTTCAATGCTTGCGTTCTCTCTGAAACTGACTGCTGCGCACGCGTTCCTTTAGGCGATCGTATGCGTTTGCTTGAGCTTGAATGTAGGATTAAATTGTGACAAAGACCAACGGTGAGCAGTTTTACGAAGAGCAGCTAGTCTTCGTGCTACGAGTAGTTGTATTTCCAGGTGGCCTGGGGGTAAACTCATAATTTTCACTGCGATAAAAGTGTGAGATCAGTAAAGCATTTCCTCCCTACTTATAGAAGCAGTGATGCTGCTCTCACCTTTCCAGGAACAATAGGTTTAAGTAGAGGTCGACCGTAAAAATGCACACGTTGATCGCCAAACATCACATTTTCCAAGACGATTAAAACATTTTTGCAAGTCACGAGTCCGGTGCCGATCGAAACGCGCCTTCCGTGCGCAGAAGCATTACTGGTCAGAAAATTATACCATGCCCCGGGAATGTCCTCCGGCAGATCAACTCCGCACTATCTTTCGTTCATTCGTGTTGGAGGCTCTGAATGGGATATTTGAAACAAGCCCCAATTTCCAGTCTTAACAGTTAAAAGTCCACACTTTTCCGCAAATAGTGCGAACTGTAAGGAAGAGGATGCGTTCCCCACAATTTGGAACATGGAGCATGAGTGCTTACCTGAAGAGGGATGGATCAGACAGGCCTGAATTGTGAACCCCTGTCGCAAACGAACTCAAACGCTACAGCATAGGCCTGGCTGCACACTGCGATCCTGCTGGCTGATCCAGGGAAGCTACGAGATGTTGGCCGTGGTTATGTCTGATCAAGCTTGCACTTTGAGGGTATTTCCCATTTGGGAACGCTCATATTAGCAGGAACTGGGAAACCTGGAAGAGGATGACGAATGACCTTAGAGTCGGATGACTGTACGCTGGAAGATCACTGACGAACTGAGAGGAATTGGAATAATCATCATCATCATCGATTGCATGACATCAGAGAAATTGGAATGACTAACGTATTTCAATGTGGGAACTGGACTCGGTCACCTTATTGATCAGATTATTAAGCGACATAGAGATTCTGTTGGTGTACTGGTCACAAAGATGGTACGTGGAGTCGACCGCAGTGTGGATGTGACATGTGCCAGGGTAAGCGTCGCATTTGAAAAACCACCAAGTCGTCGACCATTTGGAAACTGATTCAAGTTGGATGCAGAAAAAGTGGTGAGCCAAGAATTTGCATCGAAGCTCTGACACAGGCTGGCGGTTAACCAGGTTCCAAACCAGTTGGACGGAATGCGAACACGTCGAAGCAGCTGTTTTGGATACCAAACAAGAATGCAGGCCAGATTAGCCTTCTGGTAATGAGTCGTTGATATCCACCTCGATTTGGTTGAGAAATTTGGCGTTCTTCTAAACAATTAAGTATGTTATGCATGCAGAGGCCTGAAAACAAAGGCAGGCTGGACCAACTCTCTGCGGAAAACAGAGTGAAAGGAGGAACTAAAGATTTCCAATTGTGTGATCCTCTGGCTGGACTGGGGCATATCTGTGAGGCGAAAGCTCAATATCCACAGTTGACTGAAGACAAACAACCTAGTAAAAAGCGTATCAAACCCAACTAAATTCTAACAGATTAGAAAGGCTACTTTTCAACGCTACTCAACCCGCCAGGAGATCTAGATTTAACCTACGTAGTCCGCACACCCCAACATACGATATGAGCCTATATGGCTAACTAACCTACAAGCGCAGAAATCCCTAAACCAGCTATGAAAAGGGAGAGTAGCGGAACTGGGTGGTGTGTCTGCGAAACTGTAGAAGTTGGGATGGTCTACGCTGCGGAACGAGCCTCCTAGTACGATACAAACTTTGGGTGGTGGGGGACCCTACGCACGGCTTCAGTTACTCAACGATAGTCACTCTGTAAGCGAAAAGCAAGTCGACAGAAGGCGGGCGACTAGCGCGTAATTGGCGTACAGTGCATAGCAGACAAGATTATGGCTCGTATCATGCTCAATGCACTAGTTGTTGACATTCTAGAGGGAATGGTTCCCAAAGAGATGTGTGGATTTCTAGGCGTTCGGCTTACTGTTGCCTTAGTTTTTGCTGTAGAAAATCGAACAGGAACCTCGTGACTGGCACTTTACCCATTGTTGATATTACCAAAGCGTTTGACTCAGTCAACAAAGTAACACTGTAGATGCCCTTACGAAAGCTTGCCAGTCATGATAAATTTGTCACCTTTATGAAAATCTTTTGTGCTGAAATGAAAGCTCCGCGGTGCACAACTCTCTCGGTCGAGTTCGAAATCGATATACGTTTAAGCATGGTTGTGTTCTTGGCGAACTCGATTCATCTTCCACTCAGTTTTATTTGCACGGAGTCGTTCTGCCATCGTTAAGGTAGCATGCCAACTCATACTCAGTTCGGAGCGAGATGGCTCAAGTGGTTAGAGCGTGAATTTACTGACCGAAAGGTCCGTGTTTCGAACCCGACCTCTGCCTCTGAACTTTCCCTGTCTAGGCTTGGGCAACCTGGCAGTATCCAAGCCCTCGTGCTTCCTTCGGGTGGCATGGCAGTTAGGCGCCGAAAGGGTGCTACAGCTGGACGACGAAGCGTTTAGTGGCCAGAGCACCGTTACACATTGAATGTCCGTTTGCTGCCGTTTACGGAAGGCCGAATATTGTTTTCGTATTTCAAGCAGAATCCCAGCAACTGACCACGGCGTTCTGTTCAGTGGCGTATCACTTTGGGTTAGACGTAGACATTTCTAAAACGCTCTTTTATCAGCTTCAACAGCAGCTCAGTGATTGTGGCATGGCAGTAGGCGCCGAAAGGGTGCTACAGCTGGACGACGAAGCGTTTAGTGGCCAGAGCACCGTTACACATTGAATGTCCGTTTGCTGCCGTTTACGGAAGGCCGAATATTGTTTTCGTATTTCAAGCAGAATCCCAGCAACTGACCACGGCGTTCTGTTCAGTGGCGTATCACTTTGGGTTAGACGTAGACATTTCTAAAACGCTCTTTTATCAGCTTCAACAGCAGCTCAGTGATTGTGCGACAGCGTGCTATGCAGAATTCTTCCATCTTAGCAGCAAGCTGTATGCAGGCCTGACAGTGAAATAAACGCACGAATCGCAAAGGCCACAACTATATTTTGTCGCCATGAGAAGCATTTCTCACACAACTGCACATAAACACCGAAATTGTAGTGTATCGGACCGTCGTGTTCTCTTCGGGGCAGTGAAACTTGGACGTTTTACAGACGGCATGTTCGGGTACTTGATCGATTTCACTTGTACTGACCGCGCAGTCTTTCGGATCAAACAGAAGGACTGAATCCTGAAAGCTGAAATCCTCTGAAGAGTGGACGCTGTCGAAGTCGAATGCAGTTAGATATGAAACCAGCTTGACTAGGTGGACCAATTGTAAAGAACTCGCATCCCAAAACAATTAGCCTTCCGTCAGCAGATCGAATAACGTAGATGGATACAGTTTCTCGATGGAAGTCAGTGATACTAGGCCCTACAAAGCGCCAGTCACCCAAAACTTGATGAGTGAAGCACTATGGAGCTTTCACCTGTCCGCTTCCCTTGTTCTAAACCAAATTTTTCACTAGCTAGTTGCAAATATCGTAACACGCGAGTTCTATCCTGCAACTTATTTAATTCTTTTACCCAATTATTTGTCTATCCGTATTCGCGGTTTGGAACACTTCTCTGCCTACAGGCTCTGCAGTAAAGTGCCCTCTGATCGGCACCATATTGTTCTGCTCTGTTCTGTGGTTCCTGACGTCTGCCTTGTCCACTTGATTTTCACATAGCATTAAAGTCATAGCCCGTAATTCTTCCTCTCCTTTCTGACAGGCCTTTCTTAGGTTGTTTCCAAGCGGGATGCCTCAAGTGGGTAGAGCGCGAATTTACTGACCGGAAGGTCCGTGGTTCGAACCCGACCTCTGCCTCTCGACTTCCCCTGTCTAGGCTTGGGCAACCTGACAGTATTCCAGCCCTCGTACTTCCTTCGGGTAGCATGACAGCTAGGCACCGAAAGCGTGCTGCAGCTGAACGCTTTTTTTTTCAAGCGTCACGCAGTTAGAAGTGGATAATTCTGCAGCCCTTTCGCCTTTCGTATATAATTCTTCTGTCCGAGTTGTGTACTCTCTTATCCAACCAACGAAGCTTGGTTTCTCTTTCTGAATCCTATGTCAAAAACGTGTTGTGGGTGTGTAGATGTTATACTTCACTCACGAAACTGCTGAAAACTCAGAACCATCCTAAACGATAGATTCAGCTGGGTTGCGGGTGATTCTCTCGTCAAAACAAAATTTGTAAGTGTCGTTTGCATCTCCATGGCTGAAGACTAACATTCATATCCACACAGGAACCTGTAGCCAATATCAAGGTACCCCTGGTTGTCTCAGATGAAGAACAAGGAGCTTATCCACTAGACCAATCGGGCTTGCTAGAGTGTAGTGTGTGTGTAAGCATTCTAGTCGACACACCCACTGGCTGCCTCCTCGATTTCCAAATATGGACTCGAACTACTCAACAGGATCAGCAACAGAGGGTCGAGATGGCTCAAGTGGTTAGAGTGCGAATTTACTGACCGGGAGGTCCGTGGTTCGAACCCGACCTCTGCCATTCGACTTCCCCTGTCTATGCTTGGGCGACCTGGCAGTATCCCAGCCCTCGTGCCTTCTTCGGGTGGCATGGCAGCTAGGCACCGAAAGGGTGCTACAGCTGAACGATTATTATTATTGTTATTATTATTATCAACAACACGTTCAACTGTCGGACTAGTTTGATGCTTCGATTAGCTGAGCGTTCATACACAGTGTGATGTAGGGTAGTCGTCCCTGGAGAGTATGACCCCCCGAGGGGGTTGTGTCGTGATAACAGACGGATCACAAATGTGTGGTGGCCTCTGTCCTGGGGTGACTGGTATTCATTGGCCTGCGATTTTTATGGTCCTGTCTTGTCATTCTTTGTGAATGGTACTTTATTGTTGGCCACTGTCTGTTATAGCGCCTCTCGCTATACCTTCCCCTGTTCCCGTTACCGAGTTGTGTTTACATTCTCCTACAAATGTAGTAGATTGGCTGCTCTAGGATTTGCTTGAACAAGTAGAACATAAGGTTGATGGAAACTCGGGTGCTGCGCCTACCTGATGAGCCCCAAGAAGAGTGAAGCCGGTCGTGGGTTGTCGAAGAGTTTTCAGCAACCTTGTGAGTAGTTTGCTTCATGAAAATATCCCCTGCTTTCAGCTAGTTTGTAAAACTTCTTCATTACTCCAGTTTCTTTAGATCAGTATCTGTGTGCATTGCGCGACGGTACGTTGAGTACTGCCAATTGCGAACTTGATGACTGGGTGAATTTCGGCTACCTTTCGGAGTTATTTCAAAAACAGCAGATCTACCTTCCTCAGCATCCGGCTCCTCTGAGTCTCACGGCGCATTTCGCTCAATCCGGTTCGCCTTGTTTCCCCACCGGTTCCCAGGAGGTTCATATATTGACCGATTTTCATCACTGGGTCGTTTCATTCCCACCATCCCTTGGACCCATTGCCCTGCAAACTGTCCCATTCAAGCGCAGTTTGTCCTCTCCGGTTAAGACCACAGTAACTCCCTCGTCCACACAAACGGGTGAGTTTGAACATGGAATGAGGATCCTTCTGTTGGGCAACTCCTTGCAATTTATCATAGCTTTCACAAACCTTGTTGCTGATCGACTCTCGAGTACTTTTTGCCTTGCAAATGCTGCTCTGATGTGCAGGCAGAAAATGATCGAAGCAATGAACGCCTGTACATAGAATCAGAACTGAGCTGCATAGAGCCAAGTTTATTAGATCGTCCAAGCCAAATCACTATATGATTGCACATCGACTCGTGTCAGGATGTCTCGTTTCCAGTCAACTTTAGCGTGTATGAAACCCAGTGTATCGCCCCTATTGACATTCCTTGAGACATGCTTATCTGATGTAGGAGCCATGTTCTAAATGGGTACTTGTGTGGGCGATATCCATCAATCACCATTGGGGCTGTAGGCTTTTCGCTTTACACCCACCCTCCGCTCAGTAGGATTGTTTGCTTCTACGTGGTGTAGCAGATGTCACTTTGGTAACGTCAATAAGTCAATAACTTAACTAAGTAAAGTTGAAGACACGTGATTATGGAACAGTGGTCATTGGCTGCCTACGCACCATGTGGATTATTTCACTCCTGAATGTAGTAGTTGGAGTTGGGTCGGATTGTTGAACTATCGAATCGCAAGTGTTCACCACCTCACTATTGCGAATTCGGATTGATCGCTAAGGCACAAACATCATCAAATCCATCCATTAGGTCGCATTTCGTTGCTATTCCGGTCGCCTAAATTCTAGTGTTTTGAATCGGTATATGTGTACATTTGCTGCTTTTCTGTTCTATAGCGCTATGCGTTGGTATGGCGTTTTTTTTATTATAAAAGTGATGCCCTTGTCCCGCATTTCCTTATCACTCTGCACTTGCTGAGTCAACTGGATTATAGACTTTTTGGACGCAAATCGCTAGTTACTCGAGTCTCTCTGACGTTCACAGGGGGTATTTCTTTCCTGTTATTTGTTTTCCAATTGTCCCTGACCTAAGAATTCTACAAAGATTGCGATAAGCCTAAAAAATAGTTCAGCTATAGCACCCTTACGGTGCCTAACTGCCGTGCCACCCGAAGATTGCACGAGGGCTGGGATACTGCCAGGTTGCCCAAGCCTAGACAGGGAAAGTCGAGAGGCAGTGGTCGGGTTCGAACCACGGACCTGCCGGTCAGTAAATTTGCGCTCTAACCACTTGGGCCATCACCTCCGGTGATGTACATCAGCTTTCATGCAAGGGGGCGGGATGTTTCACTGGTTAGAGCGCGAATTTACTGATCGGAGGGGCAGTGGTTCAAACCCGACCTCTCCATATCAACTTCTCTCTAGGGCTGACCAACCTGGCAGTATCGCAGTCCTCGTACTTCCTTCTTGTGGAATGGCAGATAGACACTGAAAGGGTGTTACAGCTGAAACGTTATTATTATTACTATGCAGCCTACCATGATGCGCTTGGTAAGACTTAATTTATTGTTCTTTTATTATATATTTTTTACTGTATAGTATAATCCGACGTTATATAATATGATATATTACCGCATAATGTTGCTGATAAAAGAATTCTCTAACGGTCATCTATGGTGCCCATGAGATCTCTTGCCTCATTCAGACAACAATCAGTTTCCTCCGGTACATTGAGCTTTGCCATTTGTTCGTTCAGGAATGTTACTCCCTTCTCGTTCTGTCGTCTAGGGTGTTGCAGATGCCCAGCTTATTTGTCCTTCTAAAAATAACGTATAGTCTAGTCGAAGCCTTAAACAACTCGCCTTTCGCTTTTCCATTGTGTGCTTTGCTCCAAACATCTTCCGACACGCTCTTCTGATGGTTAACTCTAAAAACTATGCTGGTCAGTGCACAGCTCATCGTCACTAGATTTCATCGGCACCAGGAAACAATCAACGAACACTGAGTTTCACAGTAGAGGGAATCGTGTCAGGTGGTCAAGTACCTTACGTTGTCATTGGAGTATGGAGACAGTAGCAACCAGCCACTCTATTTTCACTGAGCAATCATGTGGCTTCCTTCGAAGGATGGTGGATTGGGTCGTTGTTTGTACTGGAGAGTAGACTTCCCTCCATTTTCCTTCTGGCGATCCTACTCTCTATTGTTTGATTACTCTCAGGCGTCTTGCAAAGACTTGTGAAACGTGCAGGCACTGTGGCTCGCCCAGCTCGTCCCGCTCATCCTAACAGTCGCCCAATCGCTTTGCTGAACACGGCTGCAGTTGAGCAGCTAGTTCGCTCGACAACCACCGTATCTGCAGACCCAATGGACTCTCTTACACCTCGTGTGGATAGTCCTCAGAGACCAACATCTTCCACCGGCGGTTTGCATCAAAATGGACTTGGGTCCGATCGTCCTCCTACCGCCAACGACCTCCTCACTGACCTGGTCCTTGTGGCAGCTCGAGGAGGGGAAGAGCCACCACCTTTGCCTACGGAAACAGGTTCCGGGAAGGGTGGATTCTATGTGACCAAGCAACTTCCGGAACCTACGAGGATTTCAGATATCAATCCACCGGAATCCGTCGAGAAATCCACGATTGGATTTGAACGCAATAAGATGTATGCGACGTTTTGTAAGGTGAGTGTTAAATTTTGTCAGGTAGTTTACTGGAAGACCGCTCCACTATTTAGCTTTTCATAGGAAAACACACTCCTCCCAATTTGTTTGCGTCGCAGATGACATCCAGATCTGGTCTTTTTGTTTATTTTCTTATCGAGTTATTGATTACCTAGTACCTGTATGTGTGCCCATCGATCGGTCAGCAAGTGGTGGTGTTTCCTCGGTTTTCTGTCATCCGACAGATTGTGAACCGATCTGTGTTCTTGTCATAACGGAGGCGCATGACGCTCAATAGTTTGCCACGCGTCTTTTCGCTGCCGCCGGTTTCGATGTGAAGGCGAGATGGTCCAAGTGCTTAGAGCGCGAATTTACTGACCGCAGGACCCGACCTCTGCTTCTCGACTTTCCCTGTCTAGGCTTGGGCAACCTGGCAATATCCCAGCCCTCGGGTGGTATGGCTATTAGACACCGGAAAGGTGCTACAGCTGGACGAACGTTTCGATGTGTTATTGAGCGTCAATTCTTTCAACAAATATTTATGGAATTAGACAGAAGATGGTTGTTCTTACTAGTCGTACGGATTTTCTCAACCTTTTTATAAGTGTTTCCAATCGGTGAATGATTCTTCCCGGCGATGGTTGTAATCTGAATTCTCGTACAGATTTACCCCCCTACCCAGTGACTAGCTCCCACAATGTATGCATGCATAAATAGTAGAAACTGGACGTATGTTTGATGTCTGAATTTACATACGGTTACATTCATCAACGTGAAGGTGGCTACAGGGACCCGGTCACCGGGTTCCCCCTGTAACACCCTTCCGGTGCTTAGCTGCCATGCTACCCGAAGGAAGCACGAGGGTTGGGATACGCCTAGGTTGCCCAAGCCTAGACAAGAGAAATCGAGAGGTAGAGGTCGGGTTCGAACCAAGAACCTTCCGGTCAGTAAATTCGCACTCTAACCACTTGAGCCATCTCGCTCCGTGCAGGGCAACCTCTTCGGAATCCTTAAAGGCTTGGGCGACCTGGCAGTATACTAGTCCTCGTGCCTGCTACGTGTGACACGGCAGTTAAGCACCGAAAGGAAGCTACAGCTGAACGATTTTTTATTTTTAAAGTTAGCTAATTCTTCACGAAATTTCTTCAGCTATCAAACGGTCACTGATCAGATGCATCCACTACCAACACGGGGTTGTCCGTGACTCTTTCTAAACGTTATCGATTAGACGACTAAAGGCTGTGCTACCAAAGAGCGAGAATGTGGCAGCATTTCGACAGACGAACAATGCCGATCTGGATCCACCAAATTGATGACCGATATCAACATTTTCCCACATTCGCCGGCTTTTATTTAGCACTTGAAGTGTATTGTCTTTCAATTCACTTCATAGTGTCTCCGGGACATTCATCAGAGGTTCCTATGGGGCATCTATTAGGCAAGTACGAATACTGAATCACTGGTATTAGGTTGAGTAGCGGCTGGCTCCCTTGTCGTGCATTTGGATGCTATCTTTACTTGAGCAACATTTCTTCATCAACCCCACAAGAGTTCCTCTATCAACCTTCGTTAGTAGTTCTCGTTTGTTAGATGCGTACTAGCATATAGGTACCATATAAAATTGATGCTTTACCAACCCGGCGTGCACCAATGATAGAATAGATACATCTCGGAAGTTCATCACGCCGTATGGGCCTGGTTTCTCAAGTGTACCAGTTCAAGCCAAACCGGATTCCGCCCCATTGTCTTGAAGCGATGTCGAAACAAACAAAAGCCCCACCAAATCGAATTTACTTTTTTCCACTGTTCCTGGTCGTTTGCCGATTTGTACTCCGTTGATGCAGAATAGGTGGGTTCCAATACCCGTTACCGTGGTGGCGAATCTCGTTTTTGGGCGTCTAAAGATAAAAGATAACCAGTCAGCTGTAACACCCTTTCGGTGCCTAGCTGACATGCCACTCGAAGGAAGCAGGAGGGCTTGTATACTGCCAGGTCGCCCAAGCCTAGTCAGGGGAAGTCAATAGGCAGAGGTTGGGTTCGAATCATAGTCCTTCCGGTCAGTAAGTTCGCGCTTTAGCCACCTGAGCCACCTCGCTTCGAACTGAGTATGAATTGGCATGCTACCTTAACGATGGCAGAACAACTCCGTGCAAATGACGACCGAATGGAAGACGAATGGAGTTCACCAAGAACACAACCATGTCCCAAAACCTATGATTCGGTCTAGCATGCGATTCGCTCTCTTGTGTGACTCACGAGTACCATAGCCAGACGCGTGGTTGCGAAGTTTGTCAGACGTCGGTACGTCTCCCACACCAGTGTATCACCTTTCCGGGGAAGATTCAGTAGTCTAAGGGGTGGAAGAAAGTAGCAAGTGGTAGGTGCTTGTTGTCACGATGACTCCATGTGTAGTAAAGAATGTATCTAATTGTACATGCTGTATGCAGTATATACGAGAGGATTACATTCACCGACCTCGCATTAGCTGGAAACACACACTACTAACTGAACTATACTTGCAGTTTTACATTCGAGTCTCATATATAAATTGGATGCGGAATTTCGAAAGTGTAAAGGTATCACGACGTTATTGACGTTTTTGAAACCTGGTTGTCAACCCAGAATCCAAACGACCCACTGGCGTCGCTGTCATAGCGTCACTGTTCCATCGCCCTGAATGAAAGCGCCATGTCACGTTGATAGCCGGATGAAGTTTGCAGCGACTACTGTGATGAAATTACGCAAATTTATCGGTTTCATGTTTTGAGCTATCCTATCCGGTCTACCTGAACTGACCATGCAAGCTTACTGACTTCGACTGAGACTGAATTAATCAGCCCCAGAACACACTGCTGCCCGTACATCACCTCGAAAGGGCGACCTACCCACCATTACCGACCACTCTAAACTTCTGCTACTGTATGTGAACACAAGAGCTAGTGATGCTCGACACATTTTAAAAATTGACTTGTGTATGCTAGTTTCACACCAGCTGACTTTTTAGCCTTTAGCCCCACTTGTTACACAGGAACTTGTCTACAATCTCATTTATATCATTCTTATTGGAGTAAATGGACCGATGCGGCTTTAACACCTCTGTTTCTTGGCCTCATCTAGCGCCCCTCACCAGAGTTCTCCGATAAACTCCCTGTGGTTTCCAGTCCCAAACGAGTTTCATCTCCAGTAACCTCAGGTATGCTATTTTCGTTCTTCGATATATGAAATCCGTTTTCTACCGCTTGAGCAGATTTGTCTGCCAAGAGGACCGTTTATTTAACCCACGAGAACTATCCCCCCGACTCCGATCAGTGTAACTAAATCTGATTAGGTCGTCTTTCATTTCATTCAAGTTTCAATCCATCTCACGTGTTGGACGCAGTGAACTGTTTGCCCGTGATACCCCTTCTTTTAATTCGAATCACGTGACGTTCGACATGTCCAACAGCAAAGGACCTTGTGTGATAGAGGAGATCTATCCTTTCCTTAGGTTTTTTGTTCCGTTTTTTGGTTTGCTAAACAAAGCTTGATTACTGGGTTATTTCCCCTTCAGAATGTGGCTTCCAGAATGATCGAAGTTAACTTCCTTCTTGGTGGGGTTCAGTAAAACAAGATTTAGTAGAAGACCTCTTGTATTTGTGGTCACACTGCTTTGCCGCTGTGATGAATCCACTCATAACAAGTTTCGCCAGCTTAGGCGATCGATTGTAGCGCTTGTATGATAATTTGATGGCGTAATACCTTAACATAGCAACCTTCGATCGCCTCGTCCGCCTTACTCCGTCGCCAGTGCGCGTTACACTGCACCTAAGGGCCTGGACGCCTTACGTAGGAAGCTACATTTAGAAGTGAAACGATTAGCGATTCATGGTCTTCAGACTGTGACAGCGAACTAACTCGAAGTGAGTTCGAAGCGTTTGTTAGAAAACACTGCTTCGATCGAACCGCTGTCAGTCAGTATCTCATGTGGTGGTGACCTAGTGTCCGATTAAATACGTTTACATACAGCGCACTTATGAGCCTTCGTGTATTCACTCTTATCGCACCACTTATCCGACATCGGTCCCCTTCGGAGCACCCTTCATAAAGTACGACATTTTCTTGTAAAATTGTCTTATCGGATCGCAGTGGCTGAAGGGCGGCCTTGAGACCGGTTTCTCCCCCGCATTGTCCGGCGAATCCCGCATCTGACGGACTTCATTTCGACTGATTAATAGACCAAGTTTGGTTATGATTGAAATGAGTGGATCAAATGACAGTCCACAATGGCGATTTTAGCACGAAACATCTGGCATATTGCTGCTACCGTACAAAAGTCCCCACCCTTGTGTATTTGCTTTGTGCTCATAATCATTTGACATCAGATTTTGGCTTTGTTCTTTCTATATGCTCGAAAAATCATTGGTTGCCAATAGTCCCCCAAATACAGACAGATGTGGCCAGTGAAATCTCAGCTTCCTAAATTAATGAGTTGCAGATCAATTGGACACCCCCGTTGCATTGTTATTCTGACATTTCCCTGTATTATACATCTTCCGATTGGAGATGAAAAAATTCCCAGAAGTGTCGATGATTTTATCTTGGTGATGCGACTGTACCATTGTTTGGGGACCGACTCGAAATCAGAATAGAGTTCCCGCAATTGATCTTCACATTTTCATGTGATAACTCGATCTTGCTGACCTCGCCAACAACAACAACATGATACAAAACCAATTGGTGACTGTTGGAGAACCAGCTGTGCAGAGTGCGATTGATGTATTCTCAAACTGTTTATCCCACTATAGTGGTGGTAAAACCAGCACGGCCAAAACACTGAGTCTCACTGTTGTGTCACCTCGATTTTCTGCACTGATGCACTTTCTTCTTGATCTTCAGCCGCCACACAGTCACCAAGACCCTCCATCCCCACGCCCGATGTAGCTGGTGGCTCTATCTCCCTCAGATCTGAGTTTGAAAAACGAAAGCGTTCGCGATCATCGTTGCCGGCTATGCAGGTGGGGGGCGTGAAAATGGCAGAAGAGAGTCATGTGTAAGTCGATATGTGTAAGTCGTATTTTCAGTCTTTTCCGGTGAATGTACTTACTCGATGAATCGGTTCATCATTCAGATGAATTTCCCATTTGAAAGACTTTCGAGGTCATCTATTGTAGGCGCATAAATGTGGATGATCTGATATCCAATCCCGATGCCCTAACTGAGGCGTTCAGCCAGTACTTGCCCTTTTTGTCATTCATATGTGCCGCAGCTATGTGCTGAAAGGATGACACATTATTACTCCGCCTCACAGGACTAGCTCATAGGATAGGACGAGTTTGTTTAAGAAATCTCCATTGTAGGTGCTGTCCAGGAGCGGGTATCTGCCCCTGATGTGAACAAATGGTAGCCTGACGCTCGCTCTAATGACGGGCTTCTTAAACCATACGGGGATCAGTTTATTTCATGTTTGTCCTGATGATAGTGAAACTTGAGTTGCCGCTCGGTTTTGCAGTGATTTGTGGTGTTTTGTTCTTCTGTACGACCTTGACAGTCGGAATGGTATCTTCCACCTCGGTCACCTAGGTGCTTCCAAAAATGCATAGCCATGTAATGTACTCAATGCTCTGCAAGTGTTCTGCCCACAAGCTTCTGCCTTCTGGATCTTTGATGTTCCTCACTGAACCATTATTTGATCCATTTATACCGCTTCTCCTACTTTTATTCACTTCCCCTGACCTATCCCACGCTCTTCATATCTGTTACAACTTTGTGCGCTGAAATTTCGTCTCCTGAACCACAGAAGTCTCTTTTTGATTCAAATCAACCTGCACTTTTCTAGACTGGCATTGCACTATTTCTCAGAGCTCGCTGTAACGTCCTCGTTTTTATTCTATATTTTTAACCAAGAGTACTTTTGGTAGTAGTAAAATTCCACCACTGTTACCTGTGAATTCATCATGTGCGTCCTTCAGGTAGTAGAGATTTATGTGCAGGAGTCCACTCATTTTGTGCACTCCAAGCTCTTATGTTCTTTTCTAAAAAAAGCTGATCGATCATTTGTCGGCTTGCTTCCAAAATCGTGCTCATTCTCAGTAGACAGTCTATTATTCTTCGCTGTTCCTAATTTCCACCAAATAGATTTTTGGTCGGTCGCTTATGTATGTAACACACCATACTGTGTGTTTTTGTATGCATTTGACTAGTTAGAGGTTACTGGGTGGGAGGACGATACGAGGCGATTGATGTCCCACCTGTGTTTGTGTCACCCAATTCTACATCACTTGACATGTTGTGTACAAGTGTAGTGTTCTGGTGTACCGAAGTTTGGCTAGACAACAGAACTTCAATTCTATATTTGACCAAGCGAGAGATGCGTTTACCTAAGTATCGGATTTTTTTCGGAACAGAGACATCCTTTATTGTTTCGCTGCAATTCATTTCGGGTCGGTCAGCAAGAAAAAACAAGTCCTTCAGCTGTAGCAATCTTTCGATGCTCAACTGCCATGCTCACGGAAAGAGGACTCCAATGCTGTCAGGTTTCCCAATCATAGACAGGAATAGTCGAGATGCTCAGGTTGGGTTCGGACCACGGTCCGTAAGCTTACACCTTAACCACTGAGCTATCTCGCGCTGCCTACCATAGTACACTGTGTTCGTCCCCTTTCCCTGAGGATGACCTCCCTCTGAACTGAGTAATATCGTTTTTTATAAAAAGTTCTGTCTTTTGAAAGCAATAGTCTTGGTGTTTCTCCCTATTGACAACTGCTTTAATGCTTTCGCCCCCCGAGAATCACCTCTGTTAGATTCCAAAACGTAAAATTTTGGAAGGGTCATCATCATGAACCGTATCACTTCGTTTCGGTGCTGAATCACCGGGATTTCGTTGTTTCCAGATCTTTTTCAGTGTATTTCGTGAAGATCGGTTGCCATTTGCACTTTGTCTGAAGTTGATGCTGCCTATGTTCATTTCTCCTGCATATCCTCGATTCGTGTATGCTGGCGCAACGCATTAATCTGTGAAATAGTCCTCTGACCGTGTCATCTGTTCATCTTCTGTTGAGAATTTAACGAGAACTACTGGACGGGATAAGTTACCGCGAGGTCGTCTTTTTACACAGCGACGAAAGAATTGAAGATTGTGCGGAACCCCTAAAAAGTTTCATTTTTCTTGTGTCGCTTCTTTCTGGTGTTCACCTGTATCCGATTCGCTTGGCATATCAACTGTGGAATATTTCAACGAATGGACTGTATGCGCATCTAAGACTAAATAAATTGTCGATTACGGCGATTCCAGCCATGAAGGGTAGAGTAATGGGTTAGGTAACAATCTGAGTTGGTAGCCTTGGGACATTCCCATTTTAGTGTTTTAGGTATTGCTTACACCGATGAGCCGGCGGGGGGACTAGTATTGGAAAAGCTTTTCCATCTGACCAGTTAGTTAAGCTGCAGAATTTCGATGACGAGCTTGACTACTTTCCAAACTACTTATAGTCGAGCGAATGTTCTACCGTTCTGCATATTGCAGCTGGGCCCATAGCTGATTTCCGTCGGAGAAGCCGTAGACAGCGGTTGCCATCCGCCCACGCATTTTATGCCCATCCCCTAAATTTCCATGTTTAACTACCGTGCGTTGTTATTTTCTTTGCAAGTTGAGCTGCTTTTCCAAGAGGAAGTACAAGCTGCTCTTTGTTTTTTGGAATCGATTCCAATGGTGGACCGCACGCGTGCGTTCATGCTATTCGTCGGAATACGGTAGTCACACTCTGTTTGAGAAGTTTCTGACCACAGAAGCATGCATTTTGTTATCGAACAGATGACAGTCGTAGGCGCAGCAGCGGATTTCATACTTATAGAAATCTTGTGTCGGTGCTTGGATATTTGAAGATGTTGAGAGTTCGCGAATGCCCTCAAGTTTCACGATTTATCCGGAGAACCTTAAACCGATTTCTGTACCCCCTAGTCGTACCGCATCCTTTCATTCGGAGAGTTTACTGGCTTCGAGGGATGTATATAGGGAAACAAACTGAAAATGACAGACGCTGCCCTTCGTCTTACAGCTTAGTCGCATTTCGGCGTTGTCATGTAAACATGAATCGATAGGTTCGTGACCCTGACAACCCATGTTACGTTACTTTCCTTATCTCAACGCAATCTCCCTCATTATTTCACCTTCGTCTGGGCTTACCTGTGGTTCAGTCGAACGATACACGTACTGTTTTCAGACACTTCACACCACGGAAGTACTACTGTTGTTTCTTTTGCGTTTGATTGTGAGGCATTCAGTTTTTCTGTGCCTCTGGTTGAATTTACGGAAGCATTCAGGTGTCCACCCAAAAAAATCTCAGTTTCTCTTACTTCTTTTTTTCTCTTACTTTTTTTTGCTGAGTAATGTGGGGTTTGTACAAGCAACAGTTCTTGTTCTAGTTCGACTGATTTTGTGCGGTCCAAAATCGCCCACACTAGGCTGCACTTACTTTGGCGAGTCATTGCCACACCTTAGCAACCGTCGTCGATTATCTAGGTTTTGGCACAATGCTTCGTCTCCATTGGTTTCAACGGGCATGTCCTACTGGGAAGCATGAAATTCCATCTCTGTCCAGGTTTCTTGTATCTATTATTTGTTGGGGCGATATGGCCCGAGTGGTTAGAGCGCAAATTTACTGACCGGAAGGTCCGTAGTTGGAACCCGACCTCTGTCTCTCGACTTCCCCTGTCTAGGCTTGGGCAACCTGGCAATATCCCAGCACTCGTGCAACCTTCAGGTTGCATGGCAGTTAGGCATCGAGAGGGTGCTACAGCCGGACGATTTTTAATTTTTTTATTTGTTGGTTCTCTCTCAAGAGGAATCACATCTCAGGAATCATTTCACACACTCACCAGAGGAACCAACTGTATTCTGCTCGTGCTTTGGTAGATACGCACTTTGAAGAGCCACATGCATTGGCGGGACTGCTCGTTATTGATCGTGGGATGTCCTTTCGGTGTATACGTGTCATTCGACCCAGAGGAAGCCAGGTTATGTAGCCCTTGTTGATTGCTCAACTTTAAACGTTAGCAATGGAGTTCATAATAGATACGACCCAGTGGCATTTCCACAGTTCACAGTTCAAGCCGATTTTTTGTCCGGAACTCATCTGCTTTTGACGGGAGTTTTTCATCAGTAATCACAGACTCTGCAGTTACTCACAGCCTCATCCTGACATTTACACCCCAGTTTACTGATGCTGGGGTTACACCAATGTCAACACTTACATGGACTAATTTTTAGAGTTATTTAACACATATTCCATACTTAGGGCTCAGTGAATCCTTTTATTCATACTGTAATTTCTCTGCCGGGCACACTTCGATGAGCAGTCGATAAATGTTCCGCTCGTATTCCATTTCTTGACGTCATGTGCACAAAGTTTTTAGAGATGAACCATCCGTTCTCGTGATTTAAAACCTTTGGGTTGTTTATGCGCTAGCGCCTATACAAAGCGAAAACTACCCGGGTGTTTTCATCGCGGTGTCTGATTGCGTTCACAGTGTGCGTGGACTGTCTCAGTCTATAGAAACACACATGTGGGCTGGAGGGTTGATTTGATCTCGCATTAGAACTGGCAGAAGACATACTGCGACATGTTAATAATTCTTTCAGTCTCCCTAATCGCGAAAAACACAAAACACGCGAGCTATATAAAAACACAGGGTAGGAACAACACTGAACAGACACTTATTGGTTGATTTCTGATCGATACTCCCCGGGTAACCAAATCTTTTGCTTCATCTGTTTTTATGCACACAATCAATTTGATCAGCTGCCCTTCGCTCTTGGCTAAAACCTTGGGTTTTATGTTACGCGATACGATTAAGAAGGAGTTGATCCGGTCAGTTAGATGGCAAGTATCTAACAGATATCTGACTGGTTGTTGGTTTGTTTGCTGA